AGACGAGAAAAGATTCATATATTTTCTTTCTTTGAAACAATTTACAATCTAAGAAGAGCTCCAAATTAACATAAATATTTTTTAACGAATTCTGACTTACTTTTGGCCATGGTGCAGGGTTTAAAGCGGCGAGAGAACAAGCTAAATGTCGCAGAGTTTCAGCAGAACTCGGCTCCCACATCGCCATCTTGAATTTTGTTTATGCGCCGTTAGTTCTTATAATCAGCGGTATCAAATAACCAGCGGGGGATTTTCCCCTGCGTCTTTTATCACCAAAGACTCAACGAACGAACTTCTCCCATTTCGTCGTTCGAAGAACTGGCTTGGTGAAACTGCCCAAACTGACTTCAAACGGTAAAGGTGTGTTGCCGAATATGCTTTTCCAAACGATTCAAATTATCATATATTCTTTATTTAGTCGTCGCCAACCCTGTTATATCGCGCTCGGTCGCGCCTCAAACAAAACAACATTTTTAAAAGCAAGCTTTTCAAAAAGGATCAGTAAAATCAAGCCACTAGGGAAGAAAATGATTGATTAAAAAAACACAWGTAGATAATATAATATTCACAGTTTCTAGATCGATTGCCCGGCAATCGTGTCCTGATCGAACGAAAACGTCTTGGCAAGCAATAGAAGAGAGTTCTGAATGAATATATACAAGTACAACCATGGCAACTGCTTCTGCTTCAGGTATTGTGTATACACCTATTTTATTTCACATATCAAACTTAATGGGACTTAATGGTGACAAAAAGTCCGTGATTACTCAAGCGTATTAACCTGACAGTCCGTATGAAGTGTCAAATTCGACGAAAAGACACCAGATTTCAAGACTTTTTGAAGAAATGCAATGATATTAAAGACAATCCTTAAAAAACATACCATCGAATCTAATAAATAAAATATATATGTGACCTTTCTGTGTATTCTTCGTAAGAAAAATTGAAAATCCAAGTACGTATTTTCGCCTCAAGAAGAGTTGTAGTTGAGCATCAAAATAGACTGGCGATCCATGTTTTGAACACTCGCTACAAAAAAGTGGGCCTCCTGCATAACTTATTTAGTTGATGAAAAACCTACCATCGAATTTATGAAATAAAATATATATGTGACCTTTCTATGTATTCTTCGTGAGAAAATTTGAAAATCCAAGTATGTATTTTCGACTTTGAAGAGTTTGAGTTGAGCATCAAAATAGCCAGGCGATCACAGGTAGCCCAAGCTAGGCATTTGTGTACTTTTTAGAAATATTTAACATAACAAAAATAAGCATCTCTACCTGTGTATTGTGTTTTTCTTTACATTTCTGTGAAGTTTCAGGCCATTTCCTCCAATTTTGAGCGATTTATGCCTGTGGTTTTGTTATTGTAGAAGAGTCCTTAGAAGGTTTCAAGAGCAAAATTCGAGATATTTTTTTAAAGCTTTTTACTTTTCTAATAACCGATAAACCTATGTATTATTTGAAAAAATGCCGTATTTGTGCTCTTTTTCGGCCTCAAAACATATGACCTATCAAAAGATTTAATCTAAGACGTCTAATAAGCAAATATCACCCGATGTATAAAAAACGTTGTCGGGGAGAACACAGGTAGCCCAAGCTAGGCATTTGTGTACTATTTAGAAATATTTTAAAAATATAATAAAAATAAACATCTCTTCCTGTGAATTGTGTTTTTCTTTGCATTTCTGTGAAGTTTCAAGCCATTTCCTTCAATTTTGAGCGATTTATGGCTGTTGTTCTCCATCGTACTAAGGACGCTAACAAAATTTTATTGAGAATCCAGAGGGGGGCGGCGTAACATCTAATTTTATGTGCTCAACGTCTAAAATTAACGGTGTCAGATTCGAAAACTTCTCAAGAAAAGTGTGCCACGATTTGCGGCAAGTCTTTATTCACTAATAACAAATTATCAAATTTATAAAATAATATAAGTTATTGTTATTCCAACTCCTTCAATAAATTTATTGTTAAATTTCATTCTCATCGTAATTTCAGGTAGTTCAAGTAGCTTAAGTCTTGGAGATGAGCAAAAAAGATGGCTTGTGGTTGGAATATGCCTTAACAAAGATCTTTTACCNATTGTAGTCTCTACTGTTTCCTGAGACATGTCAATCAAATACAACTAAAAAGCAACTAAAAGAAAACACAACTCGCGCCACSAATATCCCTCAACCTAGTATTCTCTACTTTCACTTGACCCATAATACCTTCTGATTTTGGGGGGTAGGTTTTGTGATGCAAATAAAATTAATTGTTATTCAAATATAAATGATTTCAATAACAATAACTACCCCCCAAAATCAGAAGGTATTATGGGTATGCGCAACTAGAGAATACTGTGTATTATGTATTGAAGTCGTATTTTATTGTTCACTTTATTTTATCAGAATTATCTATGAACTACTTATGTCATCAACAGAATAGAGTAAAGTCGTTAAACCCATGAAATAGATATTACACTAATACAYCTTAGTATAAACAYACTAATGGTCTATCACTCATACTGCGCTGTGATTGGCTACTCTACTAATGGTCTAATTTGTGATAGACCACTCGCGGGAAAATCAAAATAAATAAATTATATATTATAAAATATTTTAAGGATATTTCAATTTGTTTTCATTATTTGACCGATTAGTATGTTTATACTAAAACAATTAGACCTCTCGGCCTCGTGGACTACGAGCTAATAGCCCGGCCTCGCGGACTCGGCCTCATGGGCTATTAGCTCGTAGTCCACTCGACCTCGAGGTCTAATTGTTAATTAGTACGCTCTAATTGCATTGTTTTCTTTTGTGTCTATTTGACTATCACCAATTCCAATATTGTTTCACGGGCTTAATGACTTACAACTTTATTGTGTTGTCTTGTGCAAATACTAAAAGCATTTCCATGCTTAAGAAATAGTATGAATAGTATTTAAAAATAGTATATATCACACTTTAACGATCATTTTTTTGTTTCACGGGCTAAATGCCTTCACTCTAATACTATTTTTACTATGGATGACATTTCCACCAAAAAATCTTTATTTGTCTTTATTTTAATCCTTGAACAGAATGATTTCAGCTCGCACCTCAGTGTTTGTATTTGACCATCAAAATACTGTCAAAAGAATGACCGTAATTAGAGCTGTCATGGAATAGTTAACTAGTCGAGGATAATGAAATTATCAACCCTGTGTGGTGAAGTAATAATAATCAGGATAAAAAAACAGTCTTCTATCAGCCAGCAATTTTTTAAATAACAAAATTCACGACTTTATATTTTAAAAATTGTTTCTTTCAATATGTCCACCATCGTGAATGGTGAAAGTTCGGGTTTCCTGTGTCTGGGGACAAAGTAACAACGACAAGAAGATCACGAAGTATGGTGAACGATGCAGCTTAGGATGAAATTAAAAACAAAAAGAAAAAAATCATCTCCTCCTTTATTTAATTCCATTTCTTCTGTTGTTTCACTCATCACACATTATTATTTTTCCTCTGTCCCAACAAGTATGCAACACAGGGCCATCTTCCTGCATCTTTCTTTCTAATCCCAAAAATTTTAATTAAAATGGCTGATCGACACTTTTAGGATTAAAATTTCCACAATATGGGTTTGTCGTATCTCTTTTGTTTCTCATTTCTCTTTATTTTGATCTCATTCAAGAACAGAAAGAGTAACAAACACCTGTTTGCATGTTGCTCATGACATGAAT